AGGCGGTGGGAGCGCAGGGGTCACTGCTGGGCAGCCTGCTGCAGCTGCGCCTGCCGCTTGGCCTTCGTCTGCAGGTACCGGCCCTTCCCCTCCTCGAAGCGCCGCTTCTCATCCTCCGTCTCCGTCTGCGGGCGACAGAAACACAGCGCAGCCTGAGCAGCCCCGGCGGGGCACGGCTCTCCCACACAGGCTTGTGTGAGAGGGAAACCACCTCCCCTTTCCAGGAAACGTAAGGGAAAACCCGTGCACTCTGAAACATGTGTTTTGACAGCTAGTGGGTAATTAGCCAGCAGAACAGTGAGAAATGGGGAAGAGCACAGAGCAGAGGGACACCCACGTGGGATAAAATATTCATCAAGAAACAGCTCCCTGGTCAGCAGTGCCACATCAGCAAAGCCCTGCTGGGATCAGGAGAGCTAAAAATAGGCAGGACAGCTAAGGGGGGATGCAGCAGCCTTGTCACACATGGTCCTCTCCTGTGCCTATGTGCTTCTGCTAAATAACTCGAGGAAAGAGGGCTTGTTGGACAAAAAAAGCTGGCCGGGGTCCACCCTGGTGGAGCAGAAGTGTTGGCCAGGCTGGCTGCAGTGTGGCAGGGAGAGCTCTTACCAGCAGCTGAGGGACAGGCAGGGGCTTCCCCTCCTTGCTCAGGGAGACGTAGGTGAAGAAGGCGCTGACAGCGCGGTACCGCTCCCGAGGCTCGTCCACGAACGGGTCAGCATCCACAAAAACTTCAATTTCCATGGATTTATTGCTCGTGAAGGTCATGCGCCCCGAAATGGTGATGACACTGCCTGCAGTGCAGAGGAGGGCTGGTCAGGCTGATGGCCACTTCTGCTCGGGGGAGGGAGCAAGGGGCCCCACCTGTTTTATGTTTAAGCCATGTCTTAAGCAGAGCTTCCCAGCACAGGACAAGTCTTAACAGTGACCACATTTCTCTGCCAGCACCCAGGGGAGCCAGGATGTGGCACTGCAGGAGAGTGAAGTGCCCATCACCACCCCCATCACCTTTTTTGATCTTCTCGTGGAAGTTGATGGCATCCACTGAGGCGGTGACGATGTTGGTCTTGCAGTGACGGGCAGCTACAATCCCAGCAACCTCGTCCATGAGCTTCATGGTGACGCCTGTGGAGAGACAGGAGGTCCCATCTCAGGGAGGGTTTGGGGAAAAGCTGTGCTGCTCAGTAAGGCCTTTGCATGACCAAAGCTACACCCAGGAGTCAGAGCAGAGAATCCCACCTGCAGGAAAACCCTGGTACCGGCACAGACTCCTGCCAAGAGCACCTGCAGGGTGGCATCCTCACAGACCTGGGTTTAAGATTTAAGCCAGCTCTGGCTCTCCCAAATTTCCCTGAGCAAACTTCAGTCTTGCAAGGCATGAGCAGTCCCACAAACCTCCTGCCTGGAAGGAGCTCTGGACCATGTTCCTGTGGTTGGGTTTTTTTTTAAGGATGCAATTAGATGAAGAGTGGCCAAGAGGAAATGACTCCAGCAAATCACAGTCATTTTATGCTGTGGGTTTATAACCCAAGTTTTGTATTTTATGACACTATGACAGACTTCTAAGAATCACAATTTCTGCTTCTGCTCCAGGGGAAAACTGGTGCAGAGCAGGCTCACCTCCATGCACGAAGCCCAGCAGTGTGCAGTCCGACGGCCCCACCAGGTGGATCAGGCTGGACTGGCTGTAGCCCACGGTGTGTGGCTCTGGTCAGAGAGAGCAAAGCAGACATCAGAGCTGTCTGGCCACCACACACAGCCCTACAACCCTGTCTTAAACTGTCTGAAGGAAGAAACTGTGGGGCTGGCTGAACAAAGCCAAAGGGTGTTCAAATCAGTGTTTTATCAGCCCAGAGCAGTCCTGAGAGCAGAGGCCATTCACACCTGACATCACTCCCTCCCCCTGATGCCCACCCACCACTTTTATTCCAGCTTAGCTCATTTCCTCTTTTAAAGCTCTCAAGGAGCCCGAAAGTAAATGAGAGTGAACAGGAAGCCTTACCTTTTGTCTGCCTATCTGTGAGCAGGGAGAACAGAGAGGAAAAAGCATTTAAGTGACTTTCATCCTGCATCGCCCCCCTACAATCCCCACACACCACCTCTCTGCCTCTGCCAAGGATCATGCTGGTCCTGCAGGCCACTTGCCCCTTCAGCTGGCATCAGAGCTGCCCTGTGTTGCCAGAAGTCGGGGCTACGCTTTCAGCAGGAAAGAGATCCCCAGGGACCCCCAGCTCCTCCTCGTAGCTCACCCCTCCCTTCAAACACCCGCTGATGAATTTCTTGCTAAAAACTGACTTCAGAGAGGGGCTGCAGCTGCGGAATGTGTAGGACCCTCGCCCTGTGCTTGCATTACCCGAGTGCCCCCCTCAGCTCACACAACACGGCTCCAAAATCCCATCCCCCTCCCCAGCACGGTGCAGGGAGCGGGCACTTGCAGCCACGGGTGCCTGTCATCAGCCAGAGCTGTCCTGGGGATCAGTTCATCCTCCCAGCACTGCCAGGATGTTCCCACAGGCCACTCGCTGCCCGCGTTACCTGGGTTGATGACAGGGAAGATCGCGTCACCATTTCTCTGCTTAGTTTCCAGCCGATCCAGCTTTTGCTCCTCATAACGCTTCTTCCCCTCGTCCTCCTGCTCCTTTCTCGCGTACTGGAAGGAAAGGCTGGTGACAACAGGGCTGGCAAAGGCAGCGGCACAGCTGGCGGTGCCAGGTCAGCACTGTTCTCCTGGAGCAGGTGAGCTGTGTTTTTCAGGGAGCAACATGAGCTGTCCTACCTGGATGGGGGGCACCTCAAGGACCTTGTTCACATTCTTCAAGGACAGCGGCACGTACCACAGAGTTGCCTTGTTTGTCACCTTCTTCGCTCCTGGAGGAGAGGGGTGGCAGAGGGTGACAGGACTGACACCAGCAGCGCTTTGCCGGTAACCGGCACCGGGGCCGGCCCTGCAGCCCCGGGCAGCCCCCCTGCCAGCTCCTGCCGGGCTCTGGCTCAGAGCAGGTGTGACACTGCGCTTTTGGGAAGGCATCCCAGCAAGCAGAGCCCGTTGCCACAACAACAGCAAGAAAAGGGCCTTTTTCAGGGCCATGGGCAGCAAATGAGGCAGGAGGAGCTAACAGCAGATTATTCTTTTCTTCGCTAAAAATAATCAATGGAGCTGTACTCCCCAGGGAGCCTGCCTGGCTGCCCTGCCCAGCACCAGCCCTGCCCACTCTCAATAAAAAGGCAGTATGTCCGTCTGCTGGTGGTGCTGGTGACAGTGGGCAGAGCAGAGGGTCAGCACTGTGAGCTCGTGGGTTCTCATCGTTATTCCTGGAGTTCTGGGACAGAGCTGCCTGTAGCCACCCACCTGTTAGAATGTTTTCAGACATGACGTTGACCTGGACCTCCACAGAGTGCCGGGAAGTGTAGGTGATCTCAGCACTGACATTGGCCACCTCACCAATGCACACTGGGGAGAGGAAGTCTGTCCGCTCCACCCTTGCCAGCGCGGCCACACAGGGCTCCTGGGGACAAGGGACAGTGAGGGTAG